GTCGCGGACCCTGGGGTGCCCCGGGCTTGGCCCCGTCTCGGGCACCCACAGCCCTTGCGCTGGTGGTGGCACCTCACCAGCTCCAGGGCTTCGGCAAAGGGTGCCGCTGCCTTTGGGCCATGCGATCCCCAGGGCTGCGTGTCCCTGCCTGACCGCCCCGGGCTCCGAGTGAGCCCCGCTGCCCATATGCAATGCTGGCACCCATGCAACACTGGTGCCCATGCAACGCTGGCACCCCGTGTAACACGTCTGTGCAACTCTGGCACCCATGCAATGCTGGCACCCATGCAACGCTGGTGCCCATGCAACACTGGCACTCATGCAACACGTCTGCGTAACGCTAGTGCCCATGCAACACATCTGTGCCATGCTGGCACCCATGCAACATGGTGCCGATGCAAGATGGGTGCCCATGCAACGCTGGCACCCGTGCAACACTGGTGCCCATGCAATGCTGGCACCTGTACAACGCCGGCACCCATGCAATGCTGGTGCCTGTGAAACACGCCTGTGCCATGCTGGTACCCACGCATAACTGGCACCCACAGAAGTCTGGCGCCCATGCAACATGCGCCCTTGAACCACTGGTGCCCCTGCAACGCTGGCACCCACCCCGTGCCAGTTCTCGTGCAACACCGTCACCCATGCGATGCCATCACCCATGCAACGCCGTCACCTCTGCAATGCTGGCGCCCCTACGACACTGGTGCCCGGGCAATGCCGTCCCCCATGCAGCACTGGTGCCCACGCGTGCCCGGTGTCCCCCAGCACCCAAGGGAGCCACTCACTGCTCATCTCCCCCAGCGATAGGTGGGAGCCCTTTATGCCGGGGTCCTCGTAGCCCTCGGGGTCCAAGCTCCTCCTCGTCCTCTCCTCGTAGGCCTCCTGCGGGACAGAGAGAAGGGGGCTCAGTGGGGACCGGCACCCCCAGTGCCTCGCCGGGTCTGTGCCGGGGTGGGAGCCGGTCGGGGTGCAGCGGCAGAGCCAGGGCTCGGGGACGGGTCTCCCTACCTGGCCAGGCCCCTCCATGGCTCCGGGCTTGGCCCCCGCCTCTGCCTCGCTGCGTCCCGG